AAGCAGACTTTTCCATCCAATTTCACATATTTTTCGAATTAAGTATTGTTTTCGTGACTAACAGTAAATCAGTAGTATGAGATGTATTGACCCAATTTCGTTTTAGGTGATGAAGAACTGGTAGAAGAATAATTTTCCCACAATGATATGAGTTGAGCAGACGTTTGCATTCAATTTCACATAGCCTTACTTTCCCAAAAGTTGTTCTTATCCAGGCACCAGTGGACTGCAATTTGACCTCGCATCGGTCTTATCAACACCCTCAGTGGGAGTCGAACCGCAGCTCAACTCATATCATTGTGGGAAAATTCTTTTGCTACCAGTCCTTTATCACCTTAAATGAACTCGGGAAAATACATCTCATATTACGGATTTACTGGTAGTCACGAAAACACTAGTTGATTCGAAAAATGATAAAAAATATTTGTATATATTCGAGATCACCCAATAAGTGGTAAATGAGATTTTTCACTTCGGGAAATTTTGTTAGTGATTACGATAACGGCGTCTATTTTTGGCTGCATGCTCTTGCTAACCAAAGCCTATTTCTCATAGAATTTCTAAATATCCCATACATCGAATGCGCCTCAGCGGGAACTATATCCCCACTTGAGTTTTTCGCTCCCAAAGTAGAGCCATGAATATATGTTTCTAAGTGAATTTTGATGTCCAAAGGCGATATTAGCCCATTAAAGTGAGATATACGACAAAAGTATCAAAACAGCAAATAGAATAGACATTATGCGAAATAGCATAACTTGTGGAGAGGTCTTTTGTTGTTAGTCTAGCCTACCTGAAAACGCTTATGCTTCTCGCAGACCTCTGCGGAGACATCTGCATTGCACCATTCCAGTCTGTAGCCACGGAAAAAACCGTTCACGTTGGCTGTGTCTGCCTCAGTTAGCACATTCCAAGTAAGCACTCCTCCGTTCGCTGTCGGACTGACCAGGCTTGGAGCTGCCGGTAGAACAGTTGGTACACTTTCTCCCGAGAATCCATAGGCTTCAGTGGGTGCTTCAGTGCTGATTCCTTTGTCATTGCGACTTTGAATAGTCACCTTCAAGAGGAAGTAAATAAAATCTTTAAATTAGATCGTGAGTCAAGTTATTTAAAATAGCGAGCATTGTAGCTAATATAATTGGGCGAAGGGCTGAAAACATTTTGGTTAGTCTAAATTCATTGTTAACATGGGCTTGATTCTTGTTCCATTTTTGGGGAAAAGTGGTCAAGATACTGTATCTAGGAGTTTATATGCTTAGTCATATCCGCCAAATCCCAAAAAACTGATGGCACCAACACAAGCCATGTTTACTAAGAAAAAGCAAAGAAATTTTCTGTAATAATGCCTTTAAAGGCTTCAACTTATCTGTAGCCGATGTTTTATTTAACGGGAAGAAAATCTTTATGTATTTAAAATTATTCAATCAAGTCAAATGGAGGAATAATTAAAGGAAAATGAATAGGAAGTCGACTAAGGGCAAATAAATCAAAGGATCTTTTTACACAGAGTGAACAAATAGACACCGCATCATTTTGGGCAATAAAGGGCGCGCATCCTATGTTCATCTTTCCCAATCTACAAACAGTTTAACAAGTATTTTCAAATTATGAGGGAAACCTACTCTTACCAAGACCTTCCCCCCCAAATATGATCAAATTTTCATGTGAACTGACGAATAATGTGAAATTTGGCGGAGGAGAGCCGGCTATAATTGGCATTTTGACTGGAGATGCTGGTTGTCTGATGCAAACTGATTGAAATTGTGTTGAATTTGTACAATCCCATAAATCATATGCGTTCTCAATCTCTAATGATAATTTCAGAACCAATTAGCGAATTTATGATACAGCATGAAATCAAAGGCAACTTGACCTTCTTCGAAAGAACAAATCAGCTGAATTTAAAAGAAAAGTTAGTATTAGTATTCATTGTATGCTACTTGTTTACAAATAAGACAATGGACGAAATGTTTAAGGAATTGGCGTCTACCGTAAGCTTCACACGTAGACAAAATAAACGATTTTATAGAGCCAAAAAGGAAGTGGTGAAGAAAATCATCACACTATTCACAAAAAAGACACAAATGATTCGCATCTATCTACCTGGGGCTAAGATACCTTGTAGCCCTTATTCATATCCTACAGTGCTTGATCCTCCACACTCAGAACTTTGGCCTGAATAATGCATTCATATTCATTATGGGTTGAAATTATGCCCACTTCGGGTATTTTACTGTCGAGCATCCTTGGCTAATGGTAATATGCAAGTTATGGCCTGTCTACCATACGAATTCTAGAATTTGTAACTTTATGAATTGATCTCAATAAAATATTATAAAAACCAGTAAATTAATACCGTAAAGCAGTGTTTCCCAAATTTTTTCTAGACGTGGCGCCCTTTTTCAATTAAAATGTTTCCATGGCGCCCTACCCTAAATATGACTATTCGTAAGTAAGAGATTTAAAAAAAATAAAACTCGTGTATCTTCATTATTTTGTTTCCTTTATTAACAATAAATCAACAGTTAATAATTAATGTGATGGATGAGCCTGCAAACCACTACAAATTTTCTCAACTTGAAGCTTTTACAATATTTCGCGGCGCCCCTGTAAAGAGGCAGCGTCTTACCGGGGCGCCACGGCGCACAGTTTGGGAATCACTTCCGTAGGACATCTATCTTCATCCATACTAAAAGATGATGCCATAATGAAATTCTCGAAGATACGGAATTGCAGTACTCTATTTTCTTAGATTTTATTACATTATTCAACTTTTTATATTTATGATTTGTAGGTAGACAGGCCATCAGTATATCTTAAATAAGAGTTCTATTCAGCCTAACTTTTATAAAGTGATGAGGAGCTGATAATTGGGTTTTTGTCACAACTAAACACAAGAAAGTCTCACGATGCTATTTATTTCGCCTATCATTGCCGCCCGAAAGGTGATCTCACTCAGGCTAGATAACACTTCCGACATGGACTTAGTCATCTCAAAACTCCCAACGGAAGTAAAATCATGATGCTGTAGTGTATATTTTGGAAATTTAACTACAACATACTGTACTAGATAGACTTGACTTTAAATACATACCCTTTCTCCTTCTCATCTTCGTTATAGTAAGATTTACGTTGAAAAATGATGAATTTTCTATTTCGAAGTAAAATTTGCTTGAAATTCATATAAGAAATCTGTCTCACTAGAAACCGAATTACAATCAAAGCGGAGTGGGCACTATTATTGGGTATAGAAGTCTTCGACTCATCATCCAATGCATCAGGTGAACAACGAACCGAAAACTTCTTTGTAAAATTAAAGTGTCCAGACACACCGTGGCAATCTTCCTTGATTACAGACAGGACAAACTCACAGATTCCTTCCGACTAACGATTCCTTCAAGATAAAGAGTCAAGTCGCACTAACTAAGAAGGTATTCTTCAGAACCTAGTTTTTCCCAATAGTCTTGTATTTTGCCATAGCAGTCGACCAGATTAATCATATTAAAATTAGCAGAGCTTAAGACCGTCAAGAGCGTCATTCCACTAATTAAAAATCCGTTATGTAGTCGAGTTTAATGGTAGAACACAAGTTTGCCTTTTCAAAAATCCTACTTTAAATATTCAGCGTAGTTACAAGCTGGGTTTGATGTCCGCTGAGAAAACCTTGAATAAGAATACCGATAGGAAACAATTATGCGTGAATTTACTTGTCTCCATAAGCCTCTATCACATCGTTATAAGAAGACTCAATTATAACAATTTCATCACCATATTCGACCTGGGGTGACTACAACTCAATACTTTTTTATAATTCATAAATGTTACTTCATTAAAGTAAATATAGCCTACATTAAAATTTTCCCACTCTTTGCATTCACCTACAATTTTACTAGTTTCTTCTAATCTTCCTTTTGGCAGTCGCAACCCTAGGATGTTCGAGCACAATAAGAAATGTAAAAGTATCGGTAGCCAAATAAGAAAAAGACAAATATTGTTTGCTCCTTGCATCACATTGTGAGGCCCCTGCATAATGGGGGCTGTTTAAACAAAGTTAAATTATAGAAATTACTTTATGATAGAGAAAATAAAGATAAAATTCTTACTTCTTGTCGCAGGTAAAAGCAGAATGCTATTTTAAATTTGGTAAGGAGACAATGTGACAGTGAAATCAGAGCTTAAAGCCAGGTTTGGATCAAATCCATATAAAATTAGGAGTCTTTACCTAATGATATTCTTTAACAAAATCACTTTTAGATCTAATACATCTTTAATCACATATTTTTCACGGAGAATTTCTATGGAGGCACAACATATGCGGAAGGAGTCTTTACCACAACTTAGAAACTGAGAATAAGGGCAACATACTTCCCATTCTAAAGGGATTTTCATGAATAATTGTCTAAGATTACATACCACTTTGGTAAATATATACATAAATAAATTAGAATATGAATAGGATACGTCACCGCTGCGATTAAGAGCGCTCATGTGATGCATGTTTGACTACTTTTAACTTTGGTCCTTTGGTAGGGAAGATTTAGTACTATGTAAAGAAAGAAACATATTCACAATGAAGGCAGAGGAGGACGAGCAACTACCCATCCTAGATATCGAGACACTCAACAGAAGACTATTCATAAATAAATCATATGAAGGAATAATCTTCTATTTCCAGTCTTATCACAACTAAAGTCTGAAGATCGAAATGGCAAGAAGCCAAATCATCGTTGATATTGATAAAATGCAATATCCAGGCGATCTCGAAGAAGAAGACAACACCCTATTTTAACATTCCGATGCAATACGAGAATGTAGAGAATGCAGCTACTGCGAGCATAAGAATATTGGTGAAATAGAAGTAAAAATCAGCCTATAAGTAGAGGAACATCAAAGACTCTACAGAAATATGGATAAGGGAAGATCAGAAATAACAAAACAAATTTCACGGACCGGGCATGAAATCTAATTTAAAGCAAAATAATTAAATAATAAGAGCTGTATTCATCTTAGATTGCAGACGGTAAAGAAGACTAATAGTTGGCTTTTCCCACAGGGATATGGGCAGGTCCATCATCAGTCTCTCGTCCCATCGTGTGACCAAGGGAGAATACAGATCCTATTCAAAATGTACTGATATTTTCAAAGCCCACTCAATACGAATTCAACAAATACATCGACAGCGACTAGATTTTCATATTATAAAATAGTAAAAAATGTTTATTTATAAGGTTTGGCAGCCGAATAGTGATTTAATTCAAATTATAAGCTTAAGATAACATCCTTTCGAGATAATATAACCAAATTAAATGTGTAATATATGACTTTTCTGATGCTATTTTTTCTTTGACTACGACTTTTAGTATGTAACTAGAGCTTCGAAACTACCAGTAAAACAGTAATATAAGATGTACTCACCCTATTTCTTTTACGGTGATAAAGGACTGGTAGTGGAATTGTCCCACAACGAAATGAGTAGAGCTGACGTTTCCATTAAATTTCACATAGCGTTACTTTTACAAAAATTGTTTTCATCCAGGGTGGACTCCAGCAAATCATAATCACAAATGAAATAGGCTGAATACATCTCATATTACTGATTTACTGGTAGTCTCGAAACTCTACTTACATACGAAAAATAAGTAACGTAGTCGATTGTTATAGCAAATATACTTTTACTTCATCGACAATCCCACCAAAGAATGTGATATGGGAAAAGGCCTGGCCCTCCTCTAAATTCAAATCTGCCCTGTGACCCAAGGACACTCGTGGCAATGTGGCAATGTGGCCGAGTGGTTAACGTGTCAAGTTCACATTCGGCACTTTCATGGTTCGACTCCCGCTGGGGATGTTGACAAGACCAATGCGAGGTCGAAATTACAGTCAACTCCAGCCGGGATGAGAGCAACTTTTGGGAAAGCAAGGCAATGAGAAATTCATTGTAAACGTCAGCTCTACTCATATGATTGTGGGGAAATTCTACTACCAGTCCTTCATCACCTTAAACGAAATAGGGTGATCGAAATCTCCCATACTACAGATTTACTGGTAGTCCCAAAACTCTAATCAAATACGAAAATAATATATGATTTCTGGAATTTATTATTCTCAGATGAATCGAGGCGTTAGATAGATTTATACTTTAAAAACATACTAAATGGAAATAAACTAAAAACTGGCCTCGTATGGTGAAAATATAAGGAAAGGCAAGAGTAGAGAAGCCATTGATATCCTTACTTAGAGAATTCTAAGAACAAAAGAATTAAATAATGAAGAATTAGCGAAAGCTCGAAATAAATCTATAAACAGCAGAATAATAAAACAGAGAAGACCTGATTGACGATGTAGCTTTAACAAGTAATAAAGAAATCGAATAAAAAATGGCCCTTAAGAAAGAATCTGGAATCAAGAAAAGAAATTTTCAGCGAGCCTAGTCAAGACAAGTAAACAGAAGTAACATTTGAATGCACATAAAAAGCACAAAAAAGACCATAGATTTAGAAATAGGGATAGAAACACAAGGCCGGAGACGCTGGTTTATTCATGGAGGTGGTGCTTGGAGAAAAAGTCCTACTACGAGATGCAGCCGGTGCACA